CCGCATAGGGCGCCGGAGCAGGCCGCAGGAAGGCCGCAGGAGTGCGCCAGTCACCCGACGCTTGGCTTGCTGGTCTCTTATCCAGATGCTGTTGTCTTTAACCTAGCTGGGAGCCTGAAGTTGTTAATTACCACATGACAACAGACAACATGCCAAAGTCTGCGTAGCCTGGGAGGACAGAGAGCCACGAAGTGCTGCTGTGCAGCCGGGGCGCAGGACGGGCACGCTGGCGAGGCAGCGCCTGGCCCTCCCCTGCTCCGGAGCCCAGGCCTCCAGCCGTGGCGTCTTCAGCTCATTCCAGTACCACCAACACCCACACGATGACACTGCAGCACACGTTTGTGAAATAAGCCCCGAAGTGCTTTTTAAAGGCGAGGAAATACCGCTTCTTTAATAAGCTAGGCATTCCCCCCACCCTCGAAAAAGCGGTTGTAAGGATGAAGCTGCCCTTATGCTGTAAGGCAAGTGTTGTGACGCTTTTCAGACAGGGCCACTTTGGTTCCCATCTCGCAGTACCAGGTGCAGCGCCACAGCTGACAGGGCCTGGGTCAGCCTGTAGCCACCTTGCGAGAACAGGGCTGGCACCAGCACCATCCCCTCCCCTGCCTGCTCCTGCCCATTTGTCATCCTGCCTGGTAAATTGGGCTGTTTCTGGGTGCAAAGCATTTTCTTGTGCATTTGGGCAGCAGAGCTTTCAAAGTGAGGGGAAAATGGCACCTTGCAGTAAAACTGTTCTGTTAACATGTTTTAGCGTTCATTGATGTCAGATGCCAAGCAGCAAAGGCTGCTCGACATGTTCACAGACATTGGCATAAAGCATCCTCTCGCTCTTCATGTTTAACTTTTCCACCATTGGACTCCATCAGTTCCCATTTGTGTATCACAAGATGAACATCCTCCATCATCCTTGGATGTGTCTGCAATCCCGAAGACTAAGCTGTTTGTGCTAACCCTAGGTTCATTGGTTCACTGAAGAGAAGGAAAGCAGTATTTAATGCTTTTTAATTTCACTGGGCCATGCCCTGAAAAACGCTAAGGTCTCAGCTCTCAGTGAGGGCAAGGGGAATAGGTGGCACTCAACATGACAAGGGATTCTGAATTCCTTATTTCCTTCTCTCCCCTGGGACAAACAATTTTAAGTAAGTTGCTCTCCCTGCTGAAGCAGGTTGAAAAAGTACATTCCTAAGGTAAGCTTACACTGAAATATCTGAAATGACAACAGCTGTTGAGACCCCCATCACTTCTACAGTTTTCTGGTGAAACCTTTTAAATGCCTCTCTTGATAAGGAATAAAAATCTGAGTCACTCTTTGTTCTTGGACCACAGTAGCAAGTTGCTTTTATTTGTCAATAAAGCTATTGCACTTCAGTGCCTTTTGCTAAAGCTGAGCTGAAGCTTCAATCTGAAGACATGTCTCTATTTCCAGACTTAATCATGAGCGCTGTAGAAAGAGTCTTCTGTAAAACAAAGACCAGTTTATGACCGTTTTTAAAGTTTCAGTTTTACAGCCTTCCTATGTCATCACTCAGTTGAACAATATAAAAAACCCACAAGGCAAGTCAAATAATCCATGTAATTACCATGTATTTACTTTTATTTCAAGACTAGAATCCTGTAATTCAAAACTAGACAAACCCCCTATTTCTCACTTTGGTGCTTTCCCTCTTTAATTTACCAGGAGAGGAAAGTTTTACAAGGAGAAGTAATACCTCATTTACCAAACCAAGTAGAAAAAGGACAGATTGAGAACAACTGCTTTCAGTTTCACTTAATTGATTGGACTGAGAGGAAACCATACTGCTTAGGAACTGAAAAGCAGAGGGGGATGTTAGCAAAGAGGGGAGTTACGATTCTCAGCCTGTCTGGGACAGGGTGAGGAAAGAGACTTACTTACTGGCTATGGATCAGTGCAAGCTCAACTGGAGGTATTGTCTGGCATAATTATATCAATGCTTCTACTGAATATGCAATTTTTACTATGGAGAAAAAATAATTTTACTTCTTGTCTTCTGAAACTATTCTTTTACTCTGCATTCAGTGTTGGAGCAGACAGACCTGCGACAGAACATTCGTTCTCTTGAAATCTTTTGTGCTGATCTCTGCTTACAGTAGGGAAGGTACTGCACTGTTCACAGTAGCATAATTTAAGAGGTGCAACACGTGTTAGTCCGAGTCAAGAGAGTGAAAGCATACAGGCTCTGAAGCAATGCTTGCTTAATGCAACCTCATGGGAGCTTCACTGTGTGTTGGAATCTAAAGAGCTTTGTGATATTCTGAGTATTAACTTTTCTATAGATGCACTTCCTCTGCAAAATATCCCATTGTTCCTATTAACCCAATATAGAATACTCCTGAATCACAGAATGTTAGGAGTTGGAAGGGACCTCGAAAGATCATCTAGTCCAACCCCCCTACCAGAGCAGGACCACCTAGACTAGATCACACAGGAACGTGTCCAGGCAGGTTTTGAATGTCTCCAGAGAAGGAGACTCCACAGCCTCTC